TTCTAAGCGGTTCCCGGTCCCGCACAGCCCCGGTTTGGGAGGGGGGGGCGCAGGGGGCTGGTGGGTCCCGCCTGGCCCTGGGGGTTCACTGAGGGGGTCCAGAGGCGGGGGGGAGGAGGTGATGGGCTCTATGGGGGGGTCAGTCCCAGGGGTCCCCTATATCGCCGGGGGTCTTGGGGGGAGGGCTATGGGGGTGGCCGGGGGTCCCGGGAGGGGGGTCGCCCCTGGGCCCCCTTCCGCCTCCCTCGGCGGGTCCCTGCGACCCTCCCGGGCCCCCCCCAATTCGTCCCAGACCCCCCCGCACCTGGAGCCGCTCCGCGGAGGCCGCGAACAAGATGGAGCCGGGCGGGGGGCGCGGAGCGGGGCCGGGAGCGGGGTGGGATCGGGATGGGAGCGGGGAGGGAGCACAGAGGGAGCGGGGTGGGATCGGGATGGGAGCGGGGACCGGCCGGGCTCTGCCCCCGGCACCGCCCCCGCCCGCCCCGAGTGGGCCCGGGGAGTCCCGTGAGGCTCCCAAAGTTCCCAAAGTGTGCCTGCTGCATCCCAGAGTGTCCCAAAAGTTTCCCTGCTGCATCCCAAAGCGGCTCAAAGTGTCCCTACTGCATCCCTTACTGTTTCAAAGTGTCCCAACCTCCCATGCTGCATCCCTGAATCATCCCCTCGTGTCCCCAAAGTGGCCTCACTGCATCCCAAAGTGGCTCCACCCCAATAGTTGTCCCCATTACATCCCCACATATCCCCACCATACCCCAAAGTGTCCTTGCTGTGTCCCCAAGTGTTCCCTCTGTGCTCCAGCCACTCCTGCCATGTCCCAAACCCCTGCCATGTGCTGAGCTGTCCTTGTTGTGTCCCAAAATGTCACCCCTGTGTCCTCAACCATCCTCCTTGTGTCCCTGCCATGTCCCAAAGCACTTCAGTCACGTCCCTTGCTGTCCCTTTTGCATCTCACATGGTCCTGGTTGTGTCCCAAATCGTCCCCATCATGACCCAAAGTGTTCCCACTCCAAATGGGTGGCTCTGGGTGATGATGGTTCTCATCACCTGTCCCCACTGCCTGCGGTGACACTTCTGGTGACATGGGATTTGGTGATTCCATTTGGGAAGGGTGTCCCAGGTCACCCTGGTGGCCTTCAGTCTCAGGTTCCCTCATCCTCATAGGGTACACGGTGTCCCCAAGGGTCCATCGATGTGCCCCCAGGTCCCTGGGATGTCCCCATGTCCTGCCAACACCACCTGACCCTGGCAGCTGAACGGGCTCTTTATTCGGGAATCGGGCGGTGGGCTCTGGCCATGGCACAGCCTGGCTTCTCCCTGCCCTCCCTCCCACTGGTGCCATGTCCCTGCAGGCACTGCCAGCCTGGGCACCTCCATCCTCTCATCCTGGGAATGCCGGCTCGGTGCCGTTGGCCCTGGCGAGCTGCAGACCGCAGGGCTCCATAGTCCATTGACCAGTGGAGGCCCCACAAACCCCACACCCCCCTGGGGTGGATCCGGCCCCAGTGGGAGTGGGTGGCTGAGGAGGACCCCTGGGGGTGCCCATCCCTCGAGCTGGGCCCCCATTCTGTCCTTCATAGAGCCACGGCCACCACCCATCGTCCGCAGTGACACGCATCCAGTCCTTCCTGGAGGAGCAGCTCCATCAAGTCCCCACTGCTGAGGGTGTGTCCTGGGGGTTTATCCCTCCGGGAAGATGTAGCCGTAGTGGTTGAGGATGTGCTCCACCACCTGGTTCTGGAAGACCATGTGCATGGCCATGTTGCTCTCCTCGTTCGCCGGCCGCAGCAGGGTGGGCCCGAAGACGATGGCGACGCTCTGCACCGACATCCTGTTCTCCTCCCTGTGCTCGATCACCCTGCAGGGATGGGGGGGGGTGTCACCGGCACATCCCCACACCCGGGGCCTGTCCCTGACCCCGAGTTGTGTTCCCCCTCCCAGCTCCTGGGGTGGGTTTGGGGGAGCGAGGGGGTGTCACCTGCAGAGGTGGCGGAAAAGGACCTTCATGGTGTCGTGGTGGGCGGGAGGGAGGGAGAGCACCAGGTCCCGGATGCACTGGCCCCGCATGGCTGGGTCCTGGATCTCTGTGGATGGGGGAAGGCACACTGGGTGCTGGCTCCAGCAGCCAGAGCATCCGTCCCAGTCCCCATCTCTGTCTCCACCCCCATCCTTGTCCCCATTCCCATCCCCCTCCTCATCCCTATCTTCATCCCTGTCCTAATCCCCATCCTCATCCCTATCTTCATCACCTTGCCTGTCCCAGTTCCCATCTCCACCCCCATCCCATTTCCATCCCATCCTATCCCTCTGTCACTGTCCCCATTCCAATCCTTATCCCCATGCGCATCCCATTTCCATTCCAATCCTTATCCCTTTCCCGATCCCATCTCCATTCCATCCCTGATCCCATCCTTGTCCCCACGCCTTCCCCAAACCCATCCCTGTCCTTGTCTCCATCCCAACCCTATGCCTGTCCCCTGTTCCCATCCTCATCTCCATCTCATTCTCACCCGTCCCCATCCTTGTCCCCATCCTTGTCCCCATCCCATCCAATTCCATACCTGTCCCCATTCTGTACCCTCTCCATCCTTGTCCCCATCTCACCCTCCCATCCCATCCCCATCCCACCACATCCCATTCCATCCCCTCTCCCCATCCCCATCCCTGTCCCTCACTGATGGCAGCGATGAACTTGTCGAAGTGGCTGAAAGGCACAAGTGGCTCCGGCAGCTCCCTCAGGAAGAGCTTCAGCGCCCCGGTGACAACGTGGATGTCCTCCCAGCGCCCGTCATCCAGGTCCAGCTGCTCGTCTGGGGGCCAGGGCAGCACCTCAGGTGAGTCCAGAGCCCCAGGGATGGGCGGGGGTCCCTGTGCCCCCTCCCCCTGCCCCTGGAGGGGGGTTATATCCCATTTTTCCCCCGGTGCCACCGTACCGTGCTCCACCTTGTAGCGCAGTTTCTGGATGGTGGCCAGGTTGCCACTGACCCGGTATAGCCCATCGATGTCCAGACCTGGCAGATGGAGAGGGGGGAAAGATTCCAGTTAACCATGACCCACACTAGGATGGGACAGCAGGCGCTCTCTAGGGAGCTCTGGTCCCCACGTGTCCCCGCTGTCCCCTGGAGGGTGCCCACAGCTGGGTGGCACGTGGTGACAGCGACCGGTATGGCCAATCCCACAGCTAGCACCAGGATTCCAGGGAAAACCCAGCCATCCTGTGCAGGCTGTCCCCAGAGCTGTCCCCACCCCGGTGCCCCCAGCTGTCCCCGGGGTGGTACCTCTCCTCTCCACGGTCTGGATGCACTGCAGGACGAAGCGCGGCACCGTCCCCCGCTCCCGCTCACACAGCGCCAGCAGAGAGCAGCCAAAAACCTGGTCTGGGGAACAACGGGGACATGAGCACGGCCAGGGGACACTGGGAGGTTGGCAGCTGGGGGACAGGGCTGGGGACATCACAAAGAGTCCTGTGTCCATACAGGTGTGCCACTGGGGTGGCCGGAGGTGATGGGACATGCCCAAGCCCATCACCAAGACGTCGGGTCAGGGCTGGGCTTGGTCTCTCAACCCACTGTCCCAGCTCTATCCTCAGCTGTCCCCACCTCTCCTTCCACTTGGGGACATCCTGAGGGGACTCAGCCCCATTCCAGCACCCACCCTTGATTCAGCCCCATCCTGGCACCCGTTCCTGGCACCCATCTTTGACTTGTTTTCACCCATCTTTGACTTGTTTTCACCCATCTTTGACTTGTTTTCATCCTGACACCCCCCCTTGATGCAGTCCCATCCTGACACCCCATCCCAGCACCCATCTTTGATGTATCCCCATGCCAACACCCACCCTTGATCCAGCTGCATCCTGACACACCATCCCAGCACCCAGGACCCTTGATTCATCCCCATCCCGACACCCACCTGTGATTCATCCCCATCCCAACACCCACTTGTGATTCAGCCCCCTCCCAGCACCCCATCCTGACACCCACCTTTGATGCAACCCCATCCCATTACCCCATCCTGGTACCTCATTCCAGCACCCAATCTCAGCACCCACCCTTGATCCAAGCCCCATCTCAACACCCTCCTTTGATGCAGCCCACCCTGACACCGACCCTTGATGTAGCCCCCTCTAGGCACCCATTCTTGATGCAGGCCCCTCCTGGCACCCCATCCCAGCAGTCACCCTGGATCCAGCCTCTCTCCAGCACCTCAATGTATCCCCAGCCCATCACTCCATCCTGGCACCTGATGCATCCTTATCCCAGCAGCCCATCCCAGCCCCCACCCTCGGTCCATCCCCCCCCTGACACCCACCCTTGATGTAGCCCCTCTCCCTCAGGCTCTGCAGCGTCGGCCGCCTCTGCAGGAACTTGCGGAGTTTGTTCCGAACTCTGCTGGAGTCGCTCTCGGCGCTGGCACTGCCCGGCACCTGCCCGGGCACTGGGGGAACAGGGCACAGCTCAGCCCCGTCCCGAGGGGGCTCCTGCCATGTCCCACCTCCGGGGAGCTGGAGTTCCCACGGATGCTCGTCCCAGGGCGCCCGAGCTCACCCGCCCTCCTCTCCTCGCCGCTCCCCAGCTTCTCCCGGGAGCCGAACTCAGCCCCGCTCTCGGTGTCCTCCTCTCCGGGGATGTCGGAGCCCTAGGGAAGGGTCACTGTGAGACCCCGGGGCCCATCCCCAGGGTGGTGGGATGGGGGGTGGCCGGTGCCTGCTCACCCGCCGGCCGATGCTGTCGGCGATGGCCCTGTGCCAGGCGGTGATGATCTGCTCCGAGTCGTGCTGGATGAGGAACTCCGAGCCCTCGCGCGTCCTCAGCTGACAGAGCAACAGGCAAAGGTCAGGGCAAGGGCACGGGGCTGCCACGACCGCCGGGATTTGGCAACCAGGCTGTGGCTGAGCACGGCACCCAACTCGTTATGGAGATGACCCCAAATGTTGCCGTTTGCTGGCGGGCTGGAGCGGCTGGAAACCTCCCCCCTGTGCAAAGCCCGAGTGGAAAAACCCCTCTGGGAGGCAGGATGTCTCCCGGTGACCTCTCCATGTCAGAACAGGACAGTGTCCACAGCACAGTGTGTCCCGGTGCTCCCTGCCCCGGGATGTCACTCACTGTCCCCACTGCCACCACTGCTGGGGTGAACCAGGCAGGCATGGCATCATCTTGCAGGCCATATGGTGTCCCCCCACTGTCACCCACTCACCTCCAGGACGTTCTTCTTGCTGGACTTGTCCCTGCCAGCCCAAGCCAGGGTGGCCCCGCGCAGCTCCACCGTGTGCTCGGGGGTGGTCAGGGTGCTGGGCTGCCGCTGTGGGGACAAGGGGTTGAGGGTGGCACCTGCCCAGAGGGGATGGGGACACCAGGGTCCTGCTGGGGGGGTGTGTGGGCTGCCCTCCTCCAGAAAGGCAGGGGTGGCAGGTGTCCCCTCTGTCCCCTCCCATGGTCTCTTCAGGACCAGGGTTCAGAGCTGCCACGGTGGTGTGGGGGTTGTGGCTGTCACCTACAGCTGCCATCACCTTGGGGGACATCCCCAGTCCTGCCAGGGGAGCCAGGAGGGGAGGGCTTGTCCTTTGGGGTCCCTCTTGGTGACACAGCAGGAAGAGAGTGGGTGACTGTCTGCAGGGAGGGGACAGTCCCAAGGTTTTCACAGCATCAGACTCACTGGCTTTCCCCACACACTGGTTTTTGGGGTGCTTTGGCCATATTTCCCCTTGCCCCAGACCCCTTGCACCCCCCAGACAGAGCACTGAAGCCCCACCCCAGAGGTAGGGCCAGCACCATGTCCCCCCTGGCTGTGTGTCCCCTGTCCTTCCCCTGGCACCGTCACCACAGGGTGTTGCAAGAGCCAGGGCAGCTTCTGCATCCGGGCTGGGCACCGGAGAGGGGGGCTGGGCACAGGGGGCTGGGTCTGGCACTGCTTCCTGCTGCTCTCTCAGACCAGATCTGGGCGTGTTTTAGGGTGCTCCAACACTGGTTCCCCCCAGACCCCGTGTGGGGAGTGTGTGTGTGCTGGGGGTGTGAGCACACACCCCCCAGTGTGGGGGGACCCAGTGCTGGGGGGTCCTTGTGCAGGGCGTTGGCCTTGGCCTGTGGGGCCTGGTTCTATCCTGCAGATTCTGGCCCCATCCTGTGGGATGTTCCCCTGTCCCATGGCTGGTGGCCCAATCCCATGGGTGCTGGCCCTGTCCTAGGAGTGCTGGTCCCATCCCATGGGTTCCTGCCTCTCTCCTACAGGTGGTGTCTTTATCCCATCAGTCCTTGGCCTGTTCCATGGATACTGCCCTCATCCTGCAGGTGCTGACCCCATCCCATGGGTGCTGGCCCTGTCCCATGGGTGCTGGTCCCATCCTGTGGGAGCTGCCCCCCTCCCAAGGCCGCAGGGGCTCTTACCAAGCCACCGGCAGCCGAGTGCTTGGAGTCCTTGAAGAAGGTGAGGATCCCCCCCTCCAGCACCGTCCAGGAGGAGCTCCAGTTCTTCCTGGAGAGCAGAGAGGGAGAGGTCACACAGGGGGACAGCACAGCCCCTGTCCCCTCTGTCCCCCTGGACTCCCTCCCTGGGTGCTGGGGACACCGGGATGTGCTCACCGGAGCCGCTTCCCTCTGTCCACCGTCTTGGTCCGGTTGAGCACCCCGGCTTTTTCGAGGCTCTTGAACTGGAAGGTAAAGGGGGACGGTGGGTGGGTGTCAGGTTTGCCCCTTGCCCTGCCCGGCTCCGGGGTGGGGGAGGGCTGGGTGCCGCTCCCTGGGCTCTCACCTTCTCCTCCTTGATGCCCAGTGCTGGTGACACGGTGCCGTGCCAGGCGAAGAGCCCGCTGTCCTGGCTGGAGCCGCTGCTGGCACGGTGGTGGCGGCCACCTGATGGCACCTGGGCAGGGAGGGAGGGAGGGAGGGAGGGATCAGGTGATGCCTGAGGTGCTCCTGCCAGGTGGGTGCTGGTCTTCACCCTACACACTGGTTTGAGGCCCTGTGAGGATGCTCATCCCTGGATAGACACCCTTATATCCATATTTGTCCCTGCCCCTGTCCCTGTCTGTATCCTATCCCTGTCCCCATTCCAGTTCCTATCCCTGTCCCCATCCCTGTTTCCCTGCCCCCATCTCCATCCTCAACCCTGTCCCTACCCCTATCCCCATCCCATCCCATCCCTGTCCCCGTACCGTGTCAGAGAAGTGCTCAGGGTAGAACACGACTCCCTCGTGGTGACCGTGCCCGTACCAGCCCGGGGGTGAGCCCAGCTCCTCAGGGCGCCTCGGGGACAGGCAGAGAGCAGACCCCTGGTCATAGGAGCCCATGGGCGAGTAATCCTCCTCGGGATAACCCTCCAGCTCATCTGGAGACAGGTCGGGATAGTCTGTTTCTGGAGTGGGCGGCTGGAAAGAAGAGACAGGTCAGGATCTTGTGCTCCACCAAGAGCATCTGTATCCCCGTGTGGTCGACCCAGGTGAGGCTGCCCCACCTCCACCATCTCCATCTCCATCCCCATTTCCATCCCTCTCTCCACCTACATATCCATCTTAACCCCCATCCCTATCCCTGTCTCCATTCCCATCTCTATCTTCATCTCTCTCTTCATCTCCATCTCTGTTTCCATCTCTGTCTCCATCTCCATTCCCATTCCTGTTTCCATCTCTACTGCCATCCTTTTCTCCATCTCCAT